GACGTATGAAGGTCGGCACCGCCGTCGTGTATTCTCAACGACCCAGACCGTTGAGATGTCGACGGTAACGGGGTGGTGGGCCGTGATGACGAAGAACAGGTGCTGGCGGAGTCGGAAGAAGAGTGGTCTTCGCGACCTTTCGACCTGGGCGCATTTTGTTTGCTCGGGGCCTTCTCCCGGTACTTGCAATCGTCGGGTCGGCCGGTTTGGATGCATGTGCGGCAGGGGAAGTTACCATCGCACCTCTGAGAAATATATGATAAGACGCGCAAGGTCAGAACCTTTAAACCGGTGTGCTTACCCGCTTTCTCTGTCTTAAACGGCAGCCGATGAGTTCACTAAGTCGCAAGGAACAAGGGGGAATGTTCTCACCGACAGGTAATCTATAGCGCAAGTGCAAGTTAGAAATAAAGAAAAGGGGCGAAGAAAAATACGACGCACGCATGCCCCTCCCTTTGGCAGTTCTGACCGAAGTTGCCCGACTGTCTTTGGCACGTATGTGCAAGTCACAGGGGTTCGTGTCCGCGAGCAAGGCCCACAGGGCTCTCCGCCGTCACAGCGCTGCATTTAAAATGGTCAGACAATTTAGCCTAACGCGAAACACGTTTTACGCACGAGTTTTCGTCGCCGACAAAGCACACAAGTGGGAGTTTTGAATTTTGCGGGCTTCATCAGAGTAGAGGACATTGCGGGGGGAGCGGGGAAGGACGGAGTTGAGAGGGACGCTAGAATTTACGCGACTCATTATAACTGGCAAGCGAAATGATCTTCAGGAAACCGGGCGGTTGGGTGCAACGCTTGTCCCTGGGCGTGTCCGAACAACCCGTTGTATACTTGGTGACTTCTAGAATCAACGGCATCGGCGGTAAGTTTGATGGCAGTGGCGGCAATTGTGACTCAACTCCGTTCAACCTCCCGTTAAACCGTACACCAGCTGAGATTACCGGTACGAGGCATTCGTCCAAGATTCGTCCAACCTGTGCGCTCACTCACCTCTTCAGTAATTATTTTACAGTCCTAATGCTCAATTGTGAACTTCCGAGGAGACCGGCCCATCGGTATTTTGAACCAACCGGCAAATCAAATCCAAGTACAGTCCATACGATTCAGATCTCCCGCCTAAATGGATTATGCCACAGATAGACTCTCGAAGGAGCGCGAATCCCGCATACAGGGTCTATGTGGTTCAACGGTTGCTGTCGGCATGTTGTCCGAATCTGTAATCCCAAATGACGCCCCCCGGGCGGTCTGGCAGCGGGGCACGGGTTGTCAGAGCTCATTAGCGCGCACGGCGCCAAAACTATACCGAAGTCTGCCTGCAAGCGATTCAGATGGATTCATTTTCGGCCCGAAGGTCAGGGGCCTGTTTTCCTCGAGTTCCAAGGTCATGCAAAGACAACTCCTGACTGTTCAAGTATGGCTTCACACGGTTTCACTGGCACAATCTGCAGAGCGAGACAGAGCTTAGCTATGCAGACACAGCTGTGAGCCAGTGAGCCCCTGTGAGTGAGTGGGGAGATCGTCGCTGTCAAAAGCGTGGATCAACGGGGATCGCACCTCTCCGCATCAGTCCGTCCTCCGACATTCGCGCGCTTAACAATCCGATTTGCACGCGACAGGACGCGAGCTTTCGACTTAGCGACGGGGCGGCGGTTAAATATGGGTAAATGGCACGAAAAACACGCGTCTTACATCGCCTTGTATTCAAGGTGAATTTATCGTTCGAGAAAGCAGTGAGGAGCACAGGAAATAACATTATTGAGTACGTTCGGTTGCAGCGGCGTCTGTTACATATGTGGTCTTATGTGGTCGGATAGCTTGCCAGTCGATCACGGCGGTGTTAAGTAATGGTTCAGCAAATCTTGAGCAAATCCGGTCGCTCCTCCGTGGAGTTCACCGGCGCGTTGAACACCGGTGAACTCACCCGGCGTTGGGTCCAGACACCGGCAACGTCAATCTGAACTTTGACTCTCCACGTGGATCTTGTCTGCCAGTTGCAGCTGGGTTACAGTTTCAGATTTACAAGTGGTTGGTTGCAAACTCCAACCGTGGGAATTCCGTCTTCGCACCGGGCTTATGAACCACGAATATTGCCGAGGTTTCTAAGTATCTCAGTCAGTGTAGACGATTGGGGAAGGCGTAAATGGGGATTGGGCGGGGGGGTAGGGTGACAAATTCCGACTCGGCCATTTGGCCACTTCCCCGAGAGGATTCCGTTGACCACTTCCCCGAGTCGGATTCATAAAAATAACGACGGTCCACGGAAACCAAACGGAAACTCACCGAATGTGTCAATAGATTTAGTAAACCCTCAATGCGACACCGAGTCGGCCTTGAGCACTCGAGTGCTATGCAGAAAACCATTCCGCGCCTCCCGGCCAACCGAGAGCAGAAAATTGATCATGAGTTGCACTTCAAGTCTGCCGACTGAATGATATCAAATTGAAACGACTCCACCTACAGCGCTGAACATCGTCTCTTGTGGACGATCTCCTCACCATTAGGTCACTACCACAATCAACTCGAGTCCGGCACCAAATTGGGGCGCACGGAGCTCGGCCAGGTCGTGCGCAGTAGAAATCCTGATTTCACGGGCGAGCCCGGCACACAGAGTTGGCGACAAGGTCGAGCGATACGACCTGGGGTAGCGAGTCTCCCTCGCCTTCATCCATGTCCTACCAGTGCCAAGGGTCATTACCGCCACTAATGCGGAGGGTGTCGATGTGCGGGGCGAGACGGAGCGGTTTGAGAAGCTCCTGCTCGAATTTCGAGGCGCGATAGAGGTTGAGCGGCCTGAGAGACGGTCTGAACTATCAAGGCAACGAGGGGGGTGGAGGGTTTGGGGAACTGGAGATTGGAGATTTTCACGGGCGCAATGCGGGAGTGGTGATGTACGATGTATGACAGGAAGCAGTCGTCAAAGGTTTTAATTTCCAAGGAAGGGGAGGGTTTGCTGGCGGCAGTGGGCGTCGGGAGGGGTGGAAACTTTGCAGTCAGATATACTGAGGTCGACGAGACCGACGGGCGCGGGGCATTCCAACATTTGCAGGACTCGTCGTGCCGTACAGACGACAAGGACAGTTTGGTGATCTGTGCTAGCGGAAAGTCGCGGATGGGGGAGAGGCCACTGACGGCAGTGTCCAGGCCGTCTACACGTGTGCCCTAACGTAGGTCGCCCAGGTAAAATGGGACCCCATTTGCCCGCAACAAGATTGAGCTTCTGCAGTTGGGGGAAGGACGTCGGGCAAGGACCACGAAGTTGGAATCGGCAGAGCTCTGTGGAGGCTCGTGGTCTGTCAACGACGGGCTGCACAGAGGAGGGCTTCAACGATGAGCATTCTTTGGTCACCGTGAACGAGAATGGATCAAAATTGATATCTAACGGGGCCGGCAGAACGTTTGAGCCGCAGCAATAGCGATCCTTGAATGCTGCGGGCGTAATCTTCGTCCCGAGCGGATCTCGAAGCGATTCCAGACGCGAGGCGTAGAAAGGACGACCGCTCGCCAGTACTGGCAGACTTGGGCGAGCTGCCACTTGGGATCGGCGGCGGGAGTCCACTGAGATCCATACGGGGCGGCTCTGTTTACGGGCATTCCACGAAAATGTCCGATAGGAGTTTGCTCGACATCCTTCGCAGTGGAGATGATATCCGCCGGTGGTCAAGAACAGACTGCTGTAGCTCTTGTTTTCGTGAAGCGAGGCCATTCAGGAGGTGTCGCAAGCGGTTCATCTGGTCTTCAACCTGGATGATCTCGTTTTCGGCCGCGGTCATTTCCCGACGAACCTCGCTGAGTATGCCGTCCGGACGCGAGTCGTTGGGGCCGAGTTCCGCAAAGGAGGATGCGGGGCGTCCGGTTCGTCGTAAAACAGCCTCGCCTTCGAGAAGTCCACATTCGGGGCAAGTGGCACCGGCGGGGGCGATGTGAAGCTGGACTTGGCTGGGGCGCCTGAATCCAGAGTTCTGGGACAAGCGAGACTGCCAGTGTGTAGCAAAGAAAGAACCGACCCCAACTGACGGTTCAAGCGTAGTTTGCGATGGAGGTTCGGGTCAACCGGTTTTGTTGTGTGGTTGAGCTTGGTCTCGCCGGCCGCGCTTCAAATCGAACTCCGATTCCGATCAGCGGAGTTGTGTTTGCGTTCACACGGTTCAAGTTTCTAATCCAGACATATCTTCGATAGTTCTGGAGACGACCATGCACATGCGGATAGCAAATGCTTGCTTGTAAGTACTACTACATTCAGGGGGCGAAAACTATTCCCACAGTTCAAAAAGTCTGTTAACACTGTCCTTGCCATATAAAATTGCATGAAGCTGGCTAGTAAATGAACAACATACCCCAAACATACAAGCGGAGCAACCAAGTCATTTCTGCCCAACTCAAGGGTCTTAACCACCTTGTTCAGCGAAAGCCGTCCAATTTCCCACGGCTCAAATTTCTCAACTTTCAACTTATTTCGGGAATGTGCATGAAAAACAGTAAGTGCATTCAGGCTACCCGAGCATTAGAGCCAGCAGCTTCCAAATCTATGTGACTCCCACTGTGAAGTCAGAGTATGCAGCAAGTTTTTGGGTGAACCCGAACCGCCAAGTACTTTTTGTTATGTTGATTTCAGAAGATATTCAGTAGCCTATATTTCGGGCAAAAGGATTCTCCAGTGAGCACCTGATGCATATGGTGTGCGCCTGCTGGATGTACTTTGTCGTTCACCACTGGCATGTTAGCAGGAGGTCCCGGTTCGATTCCGGGTCAGGTGTTGCTTCGATCGCGATGTCAGCCTTTTTCCCTTTCTTTTGGTCATGGCCTTTGGTCAGACGCGAGTTGACCATGGATGTTGGTTAAATCAACGAGGTCGCTTCGTTGGTCAGTACAAGTAGAACTACAAGGGAGAGGGACACAATTTGAAATGATGTTGAAGTTTGTTTTCTTGTCTACTCATAATTATAATGCTCGGAAGGATGAATGCAGGTACTCATGAGGGAACAGAATAAAGTGGTAGCCACTCGATGGTACATGGTGTACACCTGCTTCAATTGCATAAGAATACGAGATGAGCAGGAGGCCCCGGTTCGATTCCGGGTCGGGTGATGGGGGGCGATCTAAGATTTTTCCTTATCGCGCAACACTCCCATTCGTTCTTCGCACACAGGTTCTGTTGATGAGATTCGAGACCAGGATTAATATATTGTTGTTATCAGGAAGCGAGGAAGATAACAGGAGAATTTCAACACAAGCTTGAATAGTTGACATTTTCTCTCGGGCAAGGTGCTTCAAAGGACAGTCGTACTTGGCTAGTTGAAAGCAGAAGGAAAGCAGCCACTCGATGGTACATGGTGTGCACCTGCTTCAACTAAGCCTTGTAGATGGTAAGCAGGAGGTCCTGGTTCGATTCCGGGTCGGGTGATGGGGGCTATGAACAAGTGTTTTTCCACCTGTTGTGTGATACTCTCCTTCGTTCTTCACCCACTGGTTTCTTACGAGGTTTCAGTCCCGGGACTGGATTAGCTGTTAATAGGAATGAAGATGAGATGAAGACGGAGACACACACAATAGTTTTTCTTCTCTGCTCAGAATGCCTTGCAAGGATCCCATCCTAGTCCCACTTGAGTAAAGAGTAAGATGAAGGCAGCAACCACTTGATGGTACATGGTGTACACCTGCTTCAATTGCAGGAGTAGATGTACTAAAGAGCAGGAGGTCCCGGTTCGATTCCGGGTCAGGTGATGAGAAGATATCAAGACAACATTTTTTGCCTTGTTGGGCAATGCACTCATTGGTGTGTGGGCTCCGGAAACGAGGTTGTCCTGAATTGTTCAAGGAAGCCTAGAGTAAGGAAGGAAGTTTACGACATTCTCAGCATGAGAGGTTGACTTTCAACCTTTGCAAGAAAAGTTTCTTGAGCATGTATGTATGACGCTTGTAAGGGTCCCAGTCATACTTCAGGAAGGAATATAATAAAGGAGACAACACTCGATCGCACATGGAGTGCGCCTGCGTCAATTAGTACGGCATAGTGCAATAGTAGGCAGGAGGCTCTGGTTCGATTCTATGGCGGTCGGAGTGTACATCTATTGTTTGGCAAGTTTTTTCCGTGTTTACGGACTTTTTGTCGTGTTTACGGACTTTTATTCACTCTCTGAGGTTTTTTCCCTGATGTTCAAGGAGGGTAAGTTTTTATTAAGGAACTCTGGAGCGGATAGTTCACTTTCTGGTGGTCAGAGTGCAACTGAGTTTTTTTTTCGTAAGTCAACCAAAACTCTCAAACTTTTTTTTTCTTTTGAACCACAAACTTTGTTTTTTCCAGCATCTGTGAGACTCTTGTAGGTTCAACGTGCCTTCAAGTAGAAAAACTTGTGGCGGCTGAGCTCGTGATCCGATCTCGGCAATGCAACAACTTAGCTGAACGAGTGGAAGCCTTGTACTGTAGGCAAGTAAGTGTACATACTGCTGCGAACGGAACACAGCTACTCATCATGTCTGGGGCTATGGCTATGAATCTACAGATTGAACTCAGGTTGAACCGCTCAGTTCAACCTGAGTTCAATTGGCTGGGTGACTGGGTCATGACCAGCAGTGTCCATATGGTATGTAGACAGGCTGGGCGTCAGCAGCTGGCACTATGATAGGGAGTCTAGAGGATGTGCAGGTGATACCACAAACTCCAGCATCATTCAAACTGGAGGGTGCCGATGCCGGAACAAGAGTTGCCGATGTGCCGACGTCCGGCTGACAAAACTTTTTTCTTCGACCTTCGTTTTGCCTTCGTTGGAACATGAATCTGTTTCATGGCAGCCAGAAAAAAACTTTCCGCTTCTCAAAAAAAAAAGCTGGGTTAAATTTTCCACGAAAAAACTTTCAAGTTGAACTCTGACCAGAAACTGAAGTATCCGCTGACAAGTTCCTCAATAAAAACCTCATGTCTTTGAACATTGGAGAAAAAAACTCACAACACTGGTTGGGAGATTCAAGTTTTTCAGCTCCATTTACAGTGAAAAATGTTGTTTGTTTTCCAGACGTTTTTCAGCGAAAAACAAGGTGAAAAATTCAAACTTTCTTCACCACTATTTCAAGTGAAAATCATTGTGAAAAACTTGAAACAAAATTCATGAGGTTTCTCAGCGTTTCTTCACTAGAAAATACAGGAGTTTTTCAGAGATTTCTCAGCGCAAAAGCAGGTGAAAAAATTAAAACATCTTCACCGCTATTTCAAATGGAAACCGTTCTGAAAAACTTGAAACCAAACAGATGAAAAATTCAAAACCTTTTTCACACAAGTTTTGACAGAAAAGGGAGTGTAAAAGGTGTGAAAAACTGGAGTCAAAAAAGTGGTGAAAAACTTGAAACCCGGTTTTCAATTATTCAGACATTTTCTAGGTGTCTTTCACCAGAAAAAATGGGTGAAAAATTTGAAACCTGGATAAGATAATTCACAAGGGGTGAAAAAGCTCGGAGGCAATGCCCTAGAGCCTCAGAGTCCACAGAAGAGCTTGTAAGTTAACAAGTGGGGTGTTGGTGGTGACCTACATTTGAACTTCACGGTAAAGGAAGGATGGCAATTGGAGCACAGATCAGGACACCATAATTGAAAGCCTTGGATGCATGTCCAATCTAACAATGGCACATAGTTGTTGCAGAGCAAACCAATCAATTCCAGCACAGGCATCGGATCCAGTGAACACATTTGACTCATTTAACAGCCCCCCGGAGAATTTGAAAAAGGCTGATTATATTCCATTTGAGCACCGAATTTGATTCTGGAGCGCCGTGGGATATTTCTGGGTTCCGCGAGCCATTCCACCTTGTCCGCAGGGTTTGTCCCGACAAATCCCGCATGTCACCAACAAATTCCCAAACCCACTGTTGCCATCGTGGGCGAAGTCTCATTATATTTGCAGGAAAAGCGAATTTAATTCTGGAGTGCTCAGAGCCGATGTTGGGTCCAACCAAGCATGCAGCCTCGTTTGCATCGTCTGTATGAGCAAATCCCCCTGCGCTGACAAATTTGCGGGCCAACTGCCCCCTACGCAGAAGCGTTTTGAAACCAGCCTTCGTGCATCGTTCTTAGGCTCGGTGCTGGCGAGCCGAGGGTGGATGTGGTTGGTGGTGCTTCTCGGTCATGCATATTGACTCGGTGAATCAATACAGACACCTCTCTGGGCACAGAACCCCAGTGTTCCGCTTTCCTGACCACATCCGGCTCAAAATCGGCCAAAAAAGCCCAATTATATTCCATTTGAGCACCGAATTTAATTCTGGAGCGCCGTGAGACATTTCTGGGTTCCGCGAGCCATGCCAGCTTGTTTGCAGGATCCGTCCTGACAAATTCCGGATGTCGCCAACAAATTCCCAAACCAACTGTTGCCATCGTGGGCGAAGTCTCATTATATTTGCAGGAAAAGCGAATTTAATTCTGGAGTGCTCAGAGCCGATGTTGGGTCCAACCAAGCATGCAGCCTCGTTTGCATTGTCCGTATGAGCAAATCCCGCCCTGTGCTGACAATTTCGCGGGCCCACTGCCGCCTACGCGGAAGCGTTTGGAAACCAGCCTTTGTGCACCGTTGTTAGGGTCGGCGCTGGCGAGCCGAGCCCGAGCGTGTCTCTGTGCTCGTGAGCCTAGCGTGGATGTGGTTGTAAGGTGGTATGCCTCGTAGGTGCCAAATGTGGGTTAGGCCTTCGAGCCTTCTACCAATATGCTTCAGACGTAACTCCGCACGGCTGTTAAATGAGTCATGTGTGTTGATTGCGTCCGATGCTTGTGTTGGAATTGATTGGTTTGCTCCGCAACAACTGTGTGCCATCGTTAGATTGGACATGCATCCAAGGCTTTCAATTATGCTGTCCTGATCTGTGCTCCAATTGCTATCGTTCCTCTACTGTGAAGTTTAAATTTAGGTCACCACCAACACCCTGTAAGGGCAACCTCGAGGCCCGAGAATACTCAAGAAGCCCAGCGAGGGGAATCCGAAGTATATCAATAATGTACACTAGAATACAGGAAAGTATAACGCACCTAGTGAGGGGAATCAGAAGAGAAGAAACTCTGAGGATTCCCACGCTAGGTCAGGACTCTAAATACGTACTATACAGGTGCATGTGATCGGAGTGATCGGCAGAGATCCCGGGCTTGGTCACAGGCGGAATGCCAACGGGAGATACCGGAGGGCTTAAAGGGGCGTCAGGAGGGGGTTCCCCTGACACACCCCACCTGTTAACTTACAAGCTCCTCTGGGGACTCTGAGTCTCTAGTGCATTGCCTCCGAGCTTTTTCACCCTTTGTGAATTATCTTATCCAGGTTTCAAATTTTTCACCCATTTTCTCGGGCGAAAAACACCTGAGAAATGTCTGAATAATTGAAAACCGGGTTTCAAGTTTTTCACCACTTGTTTTCACTCCAGTTTTTCACACATTTTACACTCCCTTTTCCGTCAAAACTTGTGTGAAAAAGGTTTTGAATTTTTCATCTGTTTGGTTCCAAGTTTTTCAGAACAGTTTCCACTTGAGATAGTGGTGAAGAAGTTTTGAATTTTTCACCTGCTTTTGCACTCAGAAATCCCTGAAAAACTCCTGGATTTTGTGGTGAAGAAACACTGAGAATCTTCATGAATTTTGTTTCAAGTTTTTCACAATGATTCTCACTTGAAATAGTGGTGAAGAAAGTTTGAATTTTTCACCTTGTTTTTCGCTGAAAAACGTCTGAAAAACAAACGATGTTTTTCACTGTAAATCGAGCTGAAAAACTTGAATCTCCCAACCAGTGCAAGGTCAAGAAAACACAACAAAAAGTCCGTAAACACGGAAAAAACCTGCCAAACAATAGATGTACACTCTGACCGCCATACGATTCCGGGTCGGGTGTTGCGCTTGGTTCCGATTTCTTCTTTTTGTCTTCTTTCTTTTAATTTGGTTCGACGCGAGTTTGACTTGTGACTAGTAGGTCAACGAGGGTGCTCCGTCGGTCGTCAATTAGTCGGCAGTAGGTAGTACTTTTATTCAACTTCGAACGTTATTGGTTTTGGGAACAAGCTAATCGAGACGGGTTTGGGTTGAATGAGTGCTTGGTGAGTGAGGGCAGTGACACTTGATGGCACATGGAGTGCGCCTGCTTCAATTTACCTTCTGGTTGATACCTTGACGGAGGCCCCGGTTCGATTCCGGGTCGGGTGATGGATCGATGGGCTAGCTGAACCTTTTTTTTCCCCTTGGTGTGCAATACTCTCCTTCGTTCTTCGCACACAGGTTCTGTTGATGAGATTCGAGACCAGGATTAATATATTGTTGTTATCAGGAAGCGAGGATGATAACAGAGGAGAATTTCAACACAAACTTGAGTAGTTGACATTTTCTCTCCTGCGAGTGCTTCAAAGGAGAGTCGTACTTGGCTACTTGAAAGAAGCAAGAATGCAGCCACTCAATGGCACATGGGGTGCACCTGCTTTGACTGAGACTGTCAAGCCACTTAGTGAGCAGGAGGTCTTGGTTCGATTCCGGGTCGGGTGATGGGATTTTCATGAACACATTTTTTTCCTTGCTGTACGATACTCTCATTCATTCTTCATCCACTCATTTTTTTGGTCCCGGGACGGACTACCACTGGATGGTATGTAGCTGTTAAGAGGAAGGAAGATGAGGGACCCTGGGACGGACACAATTTAACACAATGTCGAAATTTCTTAATTCTTGCCTACTCATGCTCGGAAGGAGGATTCAATGTGGGTACTTGTGAAGGAAGGAAGAAAGCAACCACTCGATGGCACATGGTGTGTGCCTGCTTCAATTAGTCGCCCAGTTGCAACTTGTAAGCAGGAGGTCCTGGTTCAATTCCGGGTCGGGTGATATGCTTGGCAGTCATCCCAATTTTTTCCCCTTGTTGTGTGATACTCTCATTCAAGTCATTCTTCATCCATTGTTTTGTTCAGTCCCAGGACTACCACTGGATTGTCGCTGTTGTCTTTTAAGAGGAATAAAGACAATTCAGAAGGAGAGGGACACAATGATGTTGAAATTTTATTGTCTCTCCATAATACTCAGTGCAAGGATGAATGCAGGTGCTTATGAAGGAAGGGAATAGAGTGGTAACCACACGGTGTGCGCCTGCTGAATGTATCCACGATCGCTCATCGGTTGTTAGCAGGAGGCCCCGGTTCGATTCCGGGTCGGGTGTTGAGCGTGGTTTCGATAACTTCTTCTTTTGCTCTTTCTTTTAATTTTGTTCGACGCGAGTTTGAATTGTGTGACTAGGTCAACGAGGTCGCTCCGTCGGTCGTAAATTAGCCGGCGATAGGTAGTCGGTTTATTCAACTTCGAACGTTATCGGTTTTGGGAACAAGCTTACCCAGGTGGGTTTGAGTTGAATGCACCAAGTACTTGATGAGAGAATGGAGTAACACTCGATGGCACACGGTGTGCGCCTGCCAGTGGTGCGTAGCCATCTCCGGAGTTTTAAGCAGGAGGCCCCGGTTCGATTCCGGGTCGGGTGTTGCTTCGCCAACATCTTCTTTTTTCTTTCTTTTGGTTCGACGCCAGTTTGACTTCTGAAATTAGTGTTGGTTCAATTAGCACTTCGTTGGTCGGTAGTGAGTAGTTAGTTCAGCGGGAACAAGCTGATCGAGACAGGTTTGAGGGGAATGCACCAAGTACTTGATGAGAGAAGGGGATAACACTCGATGGCGCATGGCGTGCGCCTGCTGGATTTACTTGATCTTGAGAGCTATTGGTTGTTAGCAGGAGGTCTCGGTTCGATTCCGGGTCGGGTGTTGCCTCGCTGAAGACTTTCTTTTTTTGGTTTGACGCGAGTTGACTTTGAATTTGGGCTCGTTAGGTTAACAGACGATAATAATGGGTCGACTTGGTCGGCAGTAGTAAGTAGCAGCAGCAGCTCGTTCATCATGGGAACAAGCTAATCGAGACGGGAGTGAGTAGAATGCGTACTTACACGCTTGATCTCATACTACTGTAACATGTACAGCGGTAGTAGACTATGTATTAGCCGTCGACCGTGTTGGGAATACTGGTTTGGTTCGCGTGCAGAGTAGGGCGTACATAGGAATTGAGAGTTGATTGACGGGTGTGTAGATACAGTGACCGCCGAATTAAACTGTCCTGGTTAGCGGCCGTACGCGTGGAGGTACTTAATTGCTTGTTCTGAATCGTCTGGAAAGAGAGTGGTTTGGCATGGAAACAGAGGTGGTGGAGGTGGTATTGGATATGCATTACAGTCTGAGTGACGGACATAGCAAGACATTGAGTGAAGGGACGATTCAAGTTAAACAGACGGCTCTCCCGCGGTCGCGCGCGGCATACACTGCACACATGTAGCCTGGAAACCAGTTTAACTTGAGCTCGGAAGGTGATAAATAGCGCATTACAAGGGATCCCCCGAACGGCCGCCCGTTGCAGTAAATGAGGAGATTAATGCGCGGTCTGGTGGCGTGAGTGCCATTTTGAGACCCTCGGAAGCGGGTAAGAGGGGACGAGTAAGACGCTAGTGCGTGTATCAAGGAGAGGGTGTCGCCGGTGAGACCGTAGGGCGGTAGCCGTGGTCGCCGTCAGTGGTGGTGGTGGTGGTGGTGGTGGGAGAGAGAGAGAGAGACGAGGCCGGTGAAGTGTTTGTTGACCGGGCAATGTTTCCTATTCTCGACCTTCATGCGGATGCCTACCGTGAAATATACACCCTCAAGACACAGGACACGCCGGCCGCAATAAAATAGCGAGGAAGGAATGCAATAGGCTGGTTGGGTGACGCACAAGGCTAAAGCGAGGACGGGAATGCCTAATACACGTGTGGAACCGACCCAACTTACGAACAGGAACCGCCTTTGAACGAATCCGCCTTTTAAACCACCTAATCCCGCGCGATACCCTTTCTTCATCCCGCCACCACAATGTCGTCCGCGAATACACGCCAACGCCGCAAGCCCGCACCCAAGCTCGACGACGACGACGCCGACGCCCTCAGCGTCCTCACCCTCGCCGACCCGACGCCGGCGAGGCATTCGTTCGCGCTGTACCCAGACCCGCTGCCGCCGACCCCAGCCTCGCCCACGCCGTCGTCAACAGGACACGGACACGGCCATAGTCCCCACTACACCCGCCGCCGCGCCCAGTCGTCCTCTGCCCACTCCGAGGCGGCGTCCAACTCGCCCACGTCCCCGCCGCTTGCGATCCCAAAGTCCATGTCGACCTCCATGGCGGCGCCCCCCGCGCCCCGCACCCGCCTCGCGCGCCTCCTCCTCCCCCACGCCCACGCCAGCAAAGTTACTCCAAATTCTACTAGTTCCAATTCTACCTCTACGAATTCTGCTTCGAGCTCCAACAAACCCGACGCGCCCGCGCCCTTACCCGGAATCCGCAAACACACCATATCAATCCCCACCCCCGCAACCCTCCCCTCGAGCATGCTCCCCCCCGAGCTCGCCGCGTTCGAATTCGTGCGCGCCCAGAAGCCCGTCGCACTGCGTGACCTTGACCTCCCGCCTCCCTCGCCGCCGCTGCTCTCCCCCACGTCGACGTCGGGAACGAGCTCCTCGCGCGCCTCGGGCGAGACGGCGCTCACGTCCCCGCCGCTCTCGCCGTGGTCGCCGACTTCGTCTTGTACCTCGCCGACGTTGCCTACCTTCGCCGCGAGTCCGAGTACGAGTGCTACCTCGCCGCCCGCGCCCGTGCTGAGCATCGTCTCGCCGGCGTCTGTTACGTTCGCGCCTGACCTGCCTGCGACGCCCACCTCGCCCACCAACGCGTCCTCGCCCACCTCCCCTCGCACCACCAAATCCCGACCACTACCTACTCTTAACACAAGTAACAGCGCCACCTAACCGTGAACCGCAAACCACCCCCCCTCGCGCCCCTCCTCCCCGTAAGCGCAAGCGCCCTCGCGCGCGCGGCGCGCCTCCCGCTGGTGGCGCCGAGTGGGGTGAGGGTGGGGTTTGGGGAGGTGTTGGGGTTGGGGCCTACCCTGCTTTCGACCGGGTCTTTACTACCGCCTGCGCTGCCGACGACGTTGACTATGGGCGGCGGCGAGGTTAAGGGTGAGGTGCGCGGCGGAAAAGAAGGAAGAGAAAGTGGTGGTAGGGTACGACCAGCGAGTACGAGTCGGTTCGTCGAGCTCCTCACGCCGCCTGTAGAGAACACGAATAAGATGAGCGTGAGGACGAGGCGCACCCTCGTAGTGTTCTTGAGACACTTTTGGTGTCCGCTGTGTCAGGATTATGTTGTTGGGTTGGCGAGGGCTGCTGCGGGTGCTTCTAAGGGTGGGCAAGATGAGTGTGGGGCTTGTAGTAGTAGGGGAGATGAGGAGGAACGACAAGAAGAAAGTGTGCGTATTTTCTTACGGTCTAATTTGCGACTGGACCTTGTGCTGATTCTTTTATTTTGTTTTATTTTGTAGGCTACTACCGCTACGGCTCCCTCCTCCTCGTCGTTACCTACCGCCGACGCGCCCAACCCTGAACCTGCCGCTGATGCCGACGCTCCCAATCCCAATCCCAATCCTCACGCTCGCGACCGAGAAGCTGGAGACGCTGAAGAAGAAGAAGGAGATGGGGAAGGCACCCACCTGGTACTCATCGCGCCGGGGGCGCATACGCTCGCGGAGCGGTATTTGGCGTCGTTTGGGTTTCCTGAGCTCTCTGACTCCAACGGCGATTCTACTTTTACCTCCAACCCTTCTACATCCAACCCTTCTACATCCCTCTCTAAGGACAACGTCGACTCGGGTTCGCCTACCGAGCGTGCGTCCGCCGCGGATGGCGATGCGCACCCTCAAACCCGGAAACGAAGAGGGCGCGGGATCGCCTCCATCCGCCTATTCGTCGACCCGCGCCCGCAGGAGGGGGTGTATGCTGCGCTTGGGATGGGGTGGGCTGGGGGTGCGTCGCCGCCTGTCTCTCCGACTGCTACGAGTCCCAGCGAAGGACTCGAAGGTGGAGGAAGAGGAAGTGAAGGAAGAAGAGGAGGAGGGATGGAGGCGCTGGGCATTGAGAGCGTGGGCTTTGTTCCGGGGGTGCCGTTGCCTATCCCTATGCGCGCGAGTCTCAAGCACACGCCTAAGGATAAGAAGGTGAAGGTGAAGGTGGGGAGGAGTGTGAGTATGCCGCCGGGGGTTTTTAGTGCTGCGGCTGCGGGTGGGGGGAAGAACGGGGAGGGGATGGAGAAGAAGGGGGAGAAGGACGAGAAGAGGGGCGAGAAGAGCGAGTGGAGTGCGGGGCGGGGGTTTGCGAGGGGTGCGAGGGGTGCGAGGGGTGGGGAGCGCGGTGGGATACCGCGGTTCGAGGCTCCGAGTGCGACCGACGCCTCCGCCGCATCCACAACTGCCTCGCCGACTGACGCCGCCACGAACACGAACTCCGCAGCTGACACCACCGCAGACCCAGACGCCGCCCCCACCTCGTACATCACGCACTCTGCGCTCGGCGGCGTGGGCGCGGTGTTGTTGCGCGCGCTCAGGGCGGGGATGCCGGTTTGGGAGCGGGGCGGGGATGTGAGGCTGCTTGGGGGGGAGTTTGTTTTTGAGGTTGGGTGAGTGGGGTTTTGCTGTTTTCTTCCTACTTTTTTTTTCTCGCCCTACTTTCTTCGTTTGCACTTCGCCTTCCTACTTTTTTTTCTCGGAAAACGCTTTCCTTGGCCACTTTTTTCTTCTTTGGCTACCCCGCCTCGTGGGGAGCGGGGACGAGCGTGGTCGTGGATTTGCCTTTGCCTTTTGCGTTTGCTTTTGGGTTTTGGGTTTTGCCGCGATTTTCCTTGCTTTGCGTTTAACTTGTACCCTTCTTTCTCTACAATGCTAACCTTCCTGTCCCCCTTCCAGGCCCGACCCCAGCACTTCCACCGCCACCAACTCCACCCCGACTCTGCGCTGCACTTACGCGCACCGCATGCAGACTACGCGCGGACACGCTTCCGTCGCGCGTGTGTTTGCCGCTGCTGGGATATACGTGCCGCCCGAGTCCCAGTCCGAACCGACGAGCCGGCTGGGGCGCTCCAAGTCGAGCGGGACGCTTTCGCGCGCCGTTGCTGGGAAGGAGAAAGAGAAGGGTGATGCGACTGGGCTCCCGAGGACGACGTCGGCGTTCCACCTCGGCGTCTCCTCCACTTCCAAGGTCAAGGACACGGACGCGGACACGGACGCGCGCCTGGCGATGCCGCGGTCTGCGTCGACGCCGCCCACTGCGCCGGGGATGTTCTCGCGTAATGTGTTTGCGCGGTTTGCGGGGCCGAAGGGGGGACGCGCGATGCAGGCCACCACCGCGACACGGACACCCAGGCTTCCCACGACGCGCGAACGGGCGCAGATGCCGCGCTCGGCGTCGACGCCGCCTGCACCCGCTGGGCGGCGGATCGGCGCGCTGTGGGAGCAGCACCATGGGTGGGCGCATGTGGGGGTTATTTGGGAGGCGCTTGAGGGGGATAGGCAGGAGAAGGAGAAGGAGAGGGGGGGCAGGGAGGGGCGGGAGCCGGCAATGAAGGCGACGTTGTCGGCGTCTTCGTCCCGACCGTGGGCGCTCGTTGGTGCGGGGTCTAGTGGGTCGATTGTGGACGATGTTTCGGACCGCGAGCCGGAACCGGCGCAGGGCTCGGGGTCGTCGTCGTCGGTGTCCATCTCGTTCGTCTCGCCTGTGCGGCGGACGGGCTCGGAGACGACTACGGCGTCGTCGGCGTCTGAGCCCATGTCCGAGTCGGATTTGGGGTCGGTGTCGAGGTATCAGCATCCGCATCCGTATGCGTTTGACGTTGGGGTCGGCGTCGGCGCGGGGAAGCATATT